AAAAAAAAAAAAAAAAAAGTCTCCAAAAAAGAGCAAGAAACCACATTAGCAATGATGATTTTTTGCCATCTTTCAATGCCCTTACTAGGAGAACACAATATATTTAATCTGACGGCCGTGATAATGGGATATCCAAATGTTTCCAGGGTGTCATTAGCTCCAGGAGAGCAGGAAGAGACAGCTTTGGAGACAGACATGTTCAAATTTCAGTAGCTGTGTGACCTCAGATGTGTTGTTTAAACTCTCTGAGCCTCCGTTTCTTCATCTATAACCGGTCATTGTTCATTCCAATGAGACTGACTGAGACATCAGAAATCCCTAGCCCAGTACCGGGCAGAGTGGGAGTTATTATCTTGATTATTACTATGTAGCACTGCAACCTCAGTGCTTGGCACACAGCATTCAATCAGTATTTGTTGAGTGAATTAATGAATGAATAATTGTATCATTGTGTTTATTACTACTGCCAAAATTTTCAGTAGAACCCAACCAGGACCTTCAGCCCGTTCCTATTGTCTTTTAAGTAAGACAGATAGATGAACATTTTCTCCTTTTCCTCTTTCTCCTTTCTCTTCTGCTTGCTCCAGTAAGTTTACCTCTTTATGCAATAGTTAAGACAGTGCCATTTAAAATAATGATACCAAACATGTTATTGGAAAACTCAGTCTTGCAGCGGCCATGGAGTTACCTATTCATCACATTCATTGAGCTAGAGCCATACACTTGTATGCATCATGTGTTGGGCCCTTTTGTCAGGGGGTCACTCTCCCCTGGAGTTCAGAGTCTAGTGAGAAAAGGCCATAATCATTAGAATATTAACACGGTAAATGCTGGAACAGATGTTATGTGCTGGGGGAATGGGGGGATGGTAGGAAAAAGATGAATTCTCCCTCTTACGAACAGGATGATATCAGGAAAGGGCTTTGCAGAGGAAGAGCCATTTAAGCTGATGATGATGGAGGAGAAAGATGAAGGAAAAGAAGAGGAGGAGGAGGAGTTCGATTTGTTGTCCAGGTTGAGAAGATGGAATGGGAGGAACAGCACTACAGGCAGAGCAAGGGAATTGGGTAAAGCCAGGAGTAAATCTTCCTAGTATATTTGGCTCACAGGGAGTGGCTACGTGTAGCTAAAACACAGAGCTGAGGAAGGAGTAACAAGAGGTACGCTTGGAGCCCGGTGTTCATTCAGTTAACAAATACTTAATGCGTACCCAAGGTGTTAGGAGCAAGGGCAACACATTTGCTAATGTCTGAAATGTTTTCTGAACAGAATTGGAGAAAACTGTAAGAAAACATAACCTTCTCATACTGTTGAAGGTGATTCTGCTTCCCAGTAGCTAAGGGAGCCCATGGATACACAGAGAAGAGAGCACTGGAAGAGGAGTCAAGGATGCCAGCACCAGTGCCAGCTGCCACCAGCCAGACCCCTACTTGCCAGGTGACCTTGGCCAAACCACTGCCCGATGTGGCCCTGTTTCCTCATTTGCAAGATGACCAGGTTAGATAATGAATCCTATAGTCCCTTCTGGATCTAAGAACGATGATGATCTCTGGTCTCTTTAAGTAACGGTGGGAAGGGGGGTGCAGAGATGGGGTGGGGTCTTCTCAGGGCATTTATTAACTTGTAGCTCCACAGTCATCACTCAGAGGACCCAGAGGGACAGAAGCAAAATCAAAAAACATTTTCAGATGATAGATGATGGAAGGGGTTGACATATGTGTGAGAGTTTGGGGAATTTATGCAGCCAGCCTCACAGCCATAAATAAAATCCCTTTCTTTCACCCAAAACCTCATTCGAGGGGTAAACACCAAACACTATAATAGACAATTTGGCTGTGTCTCCTGCCCTGTGCCTCACTTGAATGAAAAACAGCCGTCACAAGGCAGGGTAATGGGTTTGGCCGCCTCTGTCCAAACATCCATATTGTCACCAGCAGACAAGTGGGGCTGAGGATGGAGCACACAAGGCAATATGTCTCTGAGATCCCTGGTCTCTTCAGGCAGCACCATTCTGAGAGTCACCCATTCTAAGGCTGGGGTTGGGGAAAACCCCAAGAAAACCCAACTGCAAGAAAACGTGACCCCCAAAATGGTGAGAAGAGCAGCAGCCCCTTCCCTTCCCATAAGCCTCTCAAGGACCCCAGAGACCTCAGCACGGTTAACGCCAGCCAGCTCATCTGCGTGCAAGGCCTCCTGCTGCTCCGCACAGCTGCTGGTGTTTTCTTGACCCACTTCTCTTCCTATCCCTGCCCTACTCCACACACCCTCTGGAGTCCATGTAATTAGCACCTTTCCATCCATAAGGATCGGGAGACTTTTAAAAAGCTCCTGGCACCCAGGCTAACCAAGGAGACAGGAAGAATGGGTCCTGGCACTGCTGTTTGGGTTATTCTTTTCTTCTTCTGTTGGCTTAACTCTGCTTCCTGGCCTCTGCAGGAGATTAGGTCTAGTTTGACCTTGCCAGCCAGCAGGGCTCCTGGCTGGAAAGTGGCTGGAAGTGGCCTAACATGAACCAAAACTAAGGGCCAGCAGTCTTGACAGAACTGGAGAAGCATTGTTCAGAGTGTGGGTTTGGGAACACGAGGGGGCTCTTTGAAGCCCTCTGCCATGGCAGCCAAGAAAGGGATCTGTCAGCTCCGCTTTCTGCTTCCCTCCCGGAGCACAGTGTCGAGAGAGGCGAGGCCATGAGGTGCTGCCGATTCTGGCTCAATCCCTTTCCGTTTCCCATTAGTGACGAATGGAAATTGATGGGTCGCCACTTTATTCACTCATTTAGAGGGGGAGAAAACCTCGCAGCAAATGCTGAGTAACTGTAGGCATCTTATAAATTAAACATCTTAAGGATATAAACCGTTTTGCATTTCTTCTAAGCAGAATTAAATTAGGTAAGGAAGTTTCTGTAAAAATGGACGGGGAAGAGGGAGGGAAGATTTTGTTTTTTAATAACTTTTTTTTTTAAGCATGCAGAGCAGTGCATCGAGGGCAGGGTGACGGGGAGAACTGAGTCACCTGTCCACGTTGCTGATTCCAATCAGCTCCTCTGCATTTGCATGAAAAACTGTGACCGCAAGGTAAAACGGAGCAGCTCACACACCTGCAGGCCAGGCGTCCAGCCTGTGACACCTGGCCTAGCCCGGTCTCGGCAGCTCGCCCACCTCTGCCCACACCATGGCTCTTGACCACCACCAGTGCACTGACCTGAATGCGACTGGAAGAGTTTGGGTGCTTCAAGTCAACTCCCAGAGATTCAGCATCATGCCATCTTTGCCCTAAGTCAGCCGCTAACTCTTTCAGGCTCAGGTTTAAGACCCAAAGGTGGGTGCCTTTGCTCCCACCCCAGTGTGGGAAGAGGGGCCTCAGGTTACCTCCGTCGGGGTAACCTGCCTGGTATTTGAGTCCCTCTAGGGCTTTCACTTAATCCTACCCCTGCTGTTGGATGGGTCGTCTTATAACCAACAACCTACCTGTCTGAGTCTGTCACTGCTATGTGCCACCCACCTGTCCACATTAACCCCCATCCCCCATGTACACACAGACACCCCTGATCCCTGACACCCACATCTGTCCTGACTCCATAGGTTCTCTGTTGCTGGGCTATCAGATGACCACACTGTGCCTGCTGGACTGAACTATGTCCTTGTCCCTGTGGCTGGCTGTGTCCCCAGAACCTAGGATCTGGAGAGCCTCAATCTGCAGGTGACAAGTCTTGCTCAGTCCTGGCAGGGAGAAGGCACCTGACTTCCCAGGCCCACACCTCCAGGGATGGGGTGCTGAGGGCTGAGGTGAAAGCCCACCTGCCCACATCTAGAATGGGCACGCCACAGTAACAAGGCAAGGGAGGGAGTCACATGACCCTGTCTTATCTCTCAGATCCAGGCCACGGCAAGCAGACCCAATGTCAAGGTCCCTTCCAAGCAGCCAGGCCACCCCAGCAGACTCCTGGCTTCTTCCAAGTTGTAGACACAGCACGCTCTCCAGGAAGCCTTCTTGGACTAATCACAAGAAAGAAGGGGCCTCTTCTCCTATCTCCAGCCTTAGATTTGGAATCCCCACAGCCATCCTCACTCTCCTTCCCCGACAGCTGCCTTTTAACCAGCCAGGATGAGCCTACATTGACTGCACCAGGGAGTTATCAGCATTTTTATTCTAGTGGCTGAGGAGCTCGGCAGGCTGACCAGATTGGAGTGGTCAGCTGTCAGCTGCCTCTACCACCATCACCACCTGTGTCTCCACCCCAGCCACACTCGGGAAGGGCACAGTGCACAGGCTGGGCGGCTTCCCCAGGGCCTATGCAGCACTCTCATGTCCCCTGTGGACACCTGGGATAGTGGGTGGGGGCAATGCCCCGAGCCAGGCCACACTTACCGATCCTCAGGGAGTGCGGGCTGCAGGCGACCATCACGAGCCAAGCAGGAAGCAGCACCAAAGGCGCCGAGACGCGGGGCATCTTCTATGAATCCTCATGGAGCCCCCTGCTGGCCTGGGCATGACATAACTCTGCGAGAGAGGGGGTGGGGGGCACGTGAGTCCCAGGCTCCAGCTAGGCAGCTGCCCCACCATCCCAGTGACCCCCAGCTACCGGGGAAAGTCATGGAGCCAGAGATCTAGCTTCAGCTCTGTGATCAACATGGGGCAAGTTGTTGTAACTGTGGTTGGATGATTCATGGTGCCTCATTAATAATGAAGAACCTTTTCTGCTCTCAGCTAAGCACAGTGGCTCACGCCTCTAATCCCAACACTTTGAGAAGCTCAGGCAGGTGGATTACTTGAGGCCAGGAGTTTGAGACCAGCCTGGCCAACATGGCAGAACCCGTCTCTACTAAAAATACAAAAATTAGGTGGGCATGGTGGTGGGCACTTGTTACCCCAGCTACTCAGGAGACTTATCCACAGGAGCAGAGGTTGCAGTGAGACAGGGCACACCCTTCACCATTGCACTCCAGCCTGGCCGACAGAGAGAGCGTTTGTGTCCAAAAAAAAAGAAAAAAACCTCATCTGCTCTCAAGGAATTGGAGCCATGGATGAGTAGAAGAGGAAGGGATGGGAGGGATGGGAGGTTAGTCTACTGCATAGAGTAACCTAGCACAAGTAACATAGCACAAGCACTGCACACTGGGGAGAGGTGTGAGAGGGAACTGGGTTCAAGGCCAGCTCCTCCACTTGCCAGTTGTGTGGCCTTCATGAGGGCCCCTCTGTGTCTCAGTTAGTGTCCTCACATGTAAAAGTGATGTAGTAAAAGTGATGTAACAACCCCTCCTGGTGGAGTTGAACTAAAGAATCGAGGTAACACTGGAGAAGCCACCATGCTCAGGGTCTGGCCTAAATGAGGCACTATGAAAACATCAGGTCCTCCCTGGCCCAGATAGGAGAGGTCTGTTCCCAGCAGATATGGAGGGCAGACACACACCTCCCAGATCATCCGCTGCTTTCCACAACTGCTCTGCTGCCGCTGAAAACTAGCCCCAGTCCCATCCTCTACCAATCCCTCTCCTCCTTCCTGAGGTGGGTGGGCCTCTGACGTCAAATCCAGAACCTTGCAGGGGGCTGCCTCTCCCCGGGGCAGCATGTGCCTTGGCCCCTACTGAGACCCAGAGTCTACTGATGGCCAGCTCTGCTGGCTTCTCTGGGGTGAGGGTGGAGCTGATGAGCACCTGGATATGCTAATTCCAGGTGCCCTTGGTTAGGAGAGTGGTATCAAAACGTTTCCTCCTCCCTCCCCTAGACAGACAATCCAATAGAAACTGAACAAAAGACTTGAACAGACACCTTACTAAAGAAGATATCCAAATGGCTTATAAACATTTGAAAAGGTGCTCAGCCTCATTAAGCATCAGGAAAATGAAATTTTTAAACCACAATAATATAACCACTTTACACCCACCAGAATTAAAAGAAAAAAAAAAGACAACATCAGGCGTTAGCAAGGACGTGGTAAAACTGGAACTCTTATCCAGCGTTAGCAGGAGTATAAACTGAAATAAGCACTTTGGAAAGCTGGTCTACTAGAGCTTTACATGAAGCAGAAAGGCATGTATATGATCACCAAAGACATGCACTAGAATGTCCACAGCAGCACGCTAGTGGTTTCCAGTTCCCCAAACTGGAAACTACCCAAATGTCCAGCAGCACTATGGAGAAATACATTATATATTCACACAGGGAAATGTTACACAGAAATGAAAATGAATAATCAGCAACTACATGCAACAGAATGGATGAATCTCATAAACATAAGATTTAGCAAAAAAAAAGACTGGTACAAAAGATTGCATATTCTATAGACAGAATAATTCCATCTATATCAAGTGAAAAAACAGACCAAACCACTCTGTGCTGTTGGAAGTCCAGTTTCATGGTTAGGGTAGCAACTGGCAGGTGACATGAGGGGACTCTGCCGGTTCTGGTGATGTTCTGTGGTTTTCACACTGAGTGTGGGTTGCAAAGGTGTGTTCACTTCATGAAAGCTTGCTGAGCTGTAAACTTATGATGTGTGCACTTTTCTTTATGTGTGTTATGACTCAAAAAAAAAATTTGTTCAGGGACACCCCACCTCCCCCAACACACTCAATGTTCCAGCCACACTCAGAGCCTTGTCACTTCCTGTGCACAGGGCATCCCTTCTGCCCAAAGGACACTCCTCTGCTCGCCCCTGCCATGGCCAGAGTGGGGCCTCTCTCTGTGAGCTATCAGCAGCCTGGCATGGCTCTGAGAACAGCACTTTTCCCTCTATTGCTGTTGCCTTTATGCATCTATGCCGGGGATAAGTGTGCACTCCTTAAGGGCAAGGACTCTGTCCAGGTTCCTGTTGCATCCCCAGGGTCTATTTATACATAATAGGTGCATAGCACATATTTGTTCAATGAATGGAAGGCCTCAAGCAATCGCCTGCTAGAGGAAGACAGAGGAAGATCAAGAGTAAAGGATAGGGGTAAAGACAGCTCCGCTGTTGGCAAATCAGGCCCAGAATCTTTGTTCTTTAATCATGGGTGTTGGTGCAGGGATAGATTAAAGCAAGCACAGTCTCGGGAGAAGCTAAACATTCTTATTCATTATGGATAAAAATTTATTATTCTCTTATTTTCTGTCTCCCCACTAGAATTTAAGCTCAATCGAGGTGGGGCAAGGACAGGAATCTTGTTTGGATGTATCCCCAGGGCTTAGAACAGTGCCTGGCATATTATACAGCCTTAATAAATATTTGTTGAGTGGATAAATGAATGAACTGTCAAAGAGAAAAGAACTGTGATAATCTGGTTAGGCTATATAAAAGTACCACTAAATACAATCACCTACATTAAATGTCTTCCATTTATGCCTGATCAGCATGCTGCACCATAATTATTATGCAGACTGCTAACTAGGTGTCAGATTAGCCTGCGTGAATTTTATTTGATGACAGAACTACACTCAGTTCGTGCAGGCCTGAGGAACTGAGTGTAGCTGTTCATGGTCCCAAAGACTGGTGAGTCTCAGAGACTACATTTAAGCATGATGGTGGCTCAGGTCCTGGGCTGCTCTTTGGGCCTCAGCTCTGTGACCCTAGGCACAGGGATGAGAAATAATTTCCTCATAAACCTTATGAGAATGAAAAGAGCCACCATGTTGCATGTCTGCAAGGCTCAGTGGCTTGTAAAATTCTTTGCACAGTCTTTATCATAGTTAATCCACAGAACAAGCTCTATTACATATGAGGAAGCTATGCCCAAGAAAAGATACGTGCCTAGCTGAAGGTCACGTAACTGTCTGGAGGCAGAGCCAAGGCTAACCAGGTCTCTCACTCTACTAGCTTTTCTCTCTTAACTGCTACAGAGCAGAAAGATGAAGCTTTTCGATTCTTCATCAAAAAACACAAGACGTTTGAGGTCTTATTTTAAGCTTCATATTCAGATAAATCTAGTCTTCGGACCTGACAGTGCATCCTTCATTAACTGAAAATATTTTAATAATTAAGGGGCAAAAAAAGAAATTATCCTGGAGTTAGCGCACCAAGATGCTCTTTCCATGACCGTTACCCTCCATGGGGGTTTTCTCCCCTGCCCATGGTATATTCTCCTCCACCTGCATGCTGTGGCACCAACATCAACAGTTCAATTCCTGAACCCTTATGACTGCACACCTGCCTCATGACACCTCCACCTGGGCATCCCACAGCACATCACACACACCGTGTCCTAAAGAGAAGGCATAGTCTCCACCACGCTTGCCACCTGCTCCTCCTTCTACTTCTTAACAGGTGGCACCACAATCCATCAGTCACCCAAGCCAGAAGCCTGAGAGTTGCCCTAGATTTCTCTGTCCCCACACCCCCACATTTAATAAGTCCCCAGATCCTGACATCTCTGCCTCCTAAAACCACATCTTTTTCTCCATCACTACCAGCAGTCCAAGTACAGACATTTTCAGCAACAACCTGGATTTCTGCAATAGCATCGTCACTGGGCCCCCATCCTTTGGTCTTTCTCTCTCCATTTGGTGCTCCATATAGCAGCCAGGGGCTTCTTACAGAAATACAAACTTGATAATGACACACTCCTGCACTAAAGTCTTGGGGAGCTCTCCACTGCACAGAAGATCAAGGGCAATTCCCTCACTCTAATATATAAACCCTCTCATGATCTGGCCCTGCTCACCTGTCCCTACCCTGTGCCCTATGGCATCCGTTGCCCCAGCAGAGCTGAAGCCCACTCCCCTGCAGAAGTTGTGTGCTTTCACTGTGTCCTCTGCTCCCTGCAGGAGCTTCTGCTCGGAATGCAGTCCCATCCCATGATGGCCTGCAGGCTATGTTTTCCAGGTTCAGCTCATTGCCTCCCCTCGAGGCTTCTGTGATCCCTTCCCCATCTGCTGCTACCAAACCCTGAACATGCCTCACTGGGACACACATCCTGCTTATGACAACAATGCTGTCTGGACAGCACCAAGCACCCAGCACCCTATCTGGCACATAGTAGGTGCTCCACTAATATTGGCTGAATGAATAAATGAACAGATGGGCCCAATATGAAATAAATTCCCAGTTTGGTGTATATATTTTGTATACTCACTGTAGTTAAAACAAACAACCTAAGGAGACAGAATGCCACAGATGCAGGCAAAGGGGAATCACAATCATTTGAGAAGTGGAGGGAAGCAAATGTGTACTGCCCTCTGATTCTGTGCCTGGGGCTTGAGCTGGCTGCCACAGGTAAGAACACAGGGTTGAGTCCTACACTGCCATGTACTAGCTGCACACCTTGGGCAAGTTAGCTAACATATCCGAACCCTGACTTCTTCATTTGCAGTATGGGAGTGATAATAGTTCCCTCATGGAATTGCTATGAGAATTGCATGATAAGATGCTGTGCACTGCTGCTAAGAGTAAGCACTCAATAATAAATGCTGGCCAGGTGCAGTGGCTCACGCCTGTAATCACAACATTTTGAGAGGCCAAGGAGAGCCGATCACATGAGGTCAGGAGTTTGAGGCTAGCCTGGCCAACACGGTGAAACCTCATCTCCACTAAAAATACTAAAATTAGCCAGGCATGGTGGTGCACACCTGTAATCCCAGCTACTCAGGAGGCTAAGGCAGGAGAATTGCTTGAACCAGGGAGGCTGCAATTGCAGTGAGCCAATATTGCGCCACTGCACTCCAGCCTAGGTGGCAGAGTGAGACTCTGTCTCAATAATAATAATAATAATAATAAATACTAACTCTTCTTGACCATGTACTCACTCCATAAGATGGTGTTGCATCTCTGTTTGACAAATGAGGAAGCTGAGGCTCAGAAAGGCTCAGTAGCTTATCTGAGCTCATGCAACTAAGACAGCAGCACTGGATTCAAATCGAAGTACGCGTCTAATCATATGTGATCCAGATCCCAGGCCCCTGCTCTGACTAGCATTGAATTCAGCAGTGTTGGCAGAATTTAGGTTGAAGGCAGGTATGTCAGTACAGATTCCAATCACACAGGGTCTCTGACAGTCCCCACCTAGACAGAGCTGAGCCTCCGTCCTGTACTTTAGGTACTTTGGAAGACAGAGAGTTCAGAAACAGAAATTTCCCATCTATTTGAGAACCCTGCTCTCGACACCCAACAGGAGCCTTGCCGATCCTGAGTGCAGAGGGAAGACCCAGACTGGACGGAAGCCGGGCTCCATCTGGCTATGGGCCTTATGATGGATGCTCTTGAGCAGCTGCCCCCCTCAGAGCCTGCCTCTTCCTCCACGAGTAACATGGGAATGGAGTGCCTACCTCGGAGGTGATGAGCACCAGGAGAGCAGGGAGCAGTTCGGGCTTTTCCACCTGTGTCCTCAGTGCCTAGCACAGGCCGGCACATAGTAGGCACTCAAGTATCTGTTGAAATAATAAAAGAATCCAATCAGAAAATATATGTGGAAACACTCTGTCAGCTGCAAATTGTTTACATGTGAGTGGTATTTGGTGTCACTGAAAATGAGGAATTTACAATCTAGGTACAATTTCTCTACCCACACAGGCTCTCCTCCTTTGATCCTTCAGCCTTCACTGTCTGCAGCTCATGGGGCACCATTTAATCACATGCTGTCCCCCAAGGGCCTCAAAGATACACTGTGAATATCGCACTCAGAGCTGAGGCTCCCAAGTTCTCACCTCTGCTTAATCATTTACCTGCCCAGGATGTGTCCTTACCTTAACACCAAATTCAGGTGTCTCCACTTCTCCCAGAAGGGGAAACTCATTTCCACATTTTTACAATTGCAACACCGATCCACTTCCTCAAACTAGAAGATCCTCTAACATCTCTCTCAATGGAAAGAGACTAGACCTCTTGTTCCATGCTTATATCTTGAATACAAGCCCCATGAGGGCAGGGGCTTTAACACACTTACCCACCTTCAGCACTTGGACAGTGCCTGGCAGGCAGCAACTACAAATATTGTCAAATGCGTGACTAGATGAACAGCTATTTCGCTTTACACTTTTTTCAGCAGGGGAGCATCTCTTTGGGGCATGTATCACCTGCCACACCTGCTATTATGTCTATACTGAGTAGAAGTTTAATAAATGTTTGCTGATTCATGAGCGGGCAGCCAGTTCATAAGCACAGACAGGCACTGCCTGCAGACAGCTCATGGTATTCTGGCTGCGCACATGCTGTCTGGACTCCGTCGGCTTGGTTGTGCTAAATAGCCTTTCCTCTCCTGACTTGTCAGCAGTCCCTCCACTGGTCTCTCTCATCCTCATAGGGCTACTACATCATTAATTGTGATTTTTCAAGGTGGGTCAGAGAGGAGGCTGACAGCCACTGGTTGGTGTGGGGTGGCAGGGAGGGTAGAGGGAATCAGAGGGGCAGCCAGGTTAATGACAGGTTTTCTCTTGCTATGGGCAACAAGATCTTGATTACTCTTCCTGATGCTCCAGGCTCCTCAAAAAAATAGATGTGAGCTTCTCTGTTGTCCTGACTCCCCCCTGGATGGAAGAAACTCCAAGCGGCAGCCAGCAGCCTAGATGGAGTGTGCAGGGGTAGGGGGTGGCCAAGACAGGGGAGGGAGACTGCTCCAGTCTCTGTGGCTTCCTTGAGGGAAAAGAGTCAACCCTTGTGGCCTAATGCAGTTGGGCAGCACTTTGTAAGTATCCTGTCTCCCTGACAATAAGCAGGGAGATGCCAGGATGCAAGACTGTCCCAGGAATCAGGAACCAGGGTGTCCACCAGCCCTGGGAGTCAAGTCTCACTATAGTTTCTCATTCTGTAAAATGAGGGAATTAGACTAGATGATCTCTAAGGTTCTTAGAAGCTCTGGATTTTTGCAGTTGTAAGAACTGAACTCTATGATAATATAATCTTTACTGAATATTTACTACATGCAAAGTACTATTTCAGACTCATTTGCTACTCAGGAGAATTCTGCAAAACAGAAACTGTCATCCTAACTGCCATCCTCCCCACATGCAGATCTGGAACTCAAAGGCAGAGAGGTTGTGTCACCTGCCAAGGTCACTCAGTGGGGAAATGGAGGAACTGGGCGTTGGCTGCAGGAACTAGTTCTAATCCATCACTCACTACACCCACCTTCTCTGCATGTCCCTGAACCTAGCATGCAGTTGCCACTTGAGGAAATGCTGGAATGTGATTATGATGATCATAATGGTGTTGGAGAACAATCAAGTTACATGTGAGCAGATCACCTGCACATCTTGCTGAATAAAGGGGCTGTAAATGGAAGAATGTGTCTGGGAGTGCCCTTTGGCCGAAAGACCAGGCCAGCTGTCCTCAGCCTTTAGGAATTCCCATGAGAAGATACTCCCAGGAGTCTGTGGTGAGTTAGGACATGGCAGGTTAGACAGGGGTAATGGGCGCTAGGAGCTGGACCTGGTCTGACTCACCTAGATAAACTGAAGGGCTGTGGCGGCACTGACCACCCAGCCCAGGTCCAACTTGAGGGGAGAACATTCCCTGACCATTATAACTGCAGGTGCCTGGTAGCAATCAGGCCAAAGGACTAGGGACAGTCATGCCAAATGCTCAGACACTAAGGAACAAGAGGAATGACAAGTCTTGTTTCTTCTCTACATTTCACACAGATTTCAGACCAAAGCCCCTAATGCACCTCTAAACAAAGGCCCCTCCCTAGAGACCTGATAAGACACCCCCGGCTTCCAATTCCAGTTGTCACTGTGTGTCCTTGAGCTGGCTGCTTAACCTCTGAGGACTTCATTTCCACAACTGTAAAACTGCAGACAATGACTCCCTGGAAAGGTTGCTTCAAGGGACCTGAGGTATAATGTAGTCAGTAAATGGGCACTGCCTTGCTTTCATATCTCCACCCCATTCAGTGCTTCCTTCCAGCCCTTGTACAAAGACACGCTGACGGCATCCTCATCTTTCCCCAATAAGACGGCCTCCCATGCCTGCTGGCTGGTATTAATCCACAGCCCTCTCACCTACAAAGTGCAGGTCCAGATCAACCCCTGACGCTTCCCCTGAAGAAGTCAGTCCTTCTGGCAGAGAAGAAAAATCAGTAGATTGGAAGTAAAGAGCTGTGTGACCTTGGGCCCCTCACTTCACCTCTTGGGGCTTCCATTTTCTCTGCTGTAAGGTGGGAAATGACATGTGTACCATCTCCCTTGCAGGGTTGCTAATAGGATCCCACGAGATCATGGATGCAGACTTACTTTGCAGATGAGTAACATGCTTTTTTTGAGGCCAAAGGATCTATGTTGTTTCCATACCCAAGACAGGTCAAAGCACATACACACACTTAATGCTACTATAAATTTATACTTCATTCAGTGAATACTGCTGCGTGGCAGGTAATTTTCCAAGCCCTGGGATAGATACAGTCTCTGCCATCATAGAGCTTACAGTCTGGGACATTAAGAGACAATAATCAGATATTCAAGTGTCTGAATATCTTGATGCCATAATTACAGACTGTGAAGGAAATGAACAGGATGGTCCAGGGTGCGGCAGAGAGGGAAGACTTCTCTGAGGATGAAATGTTTGACTTGAGTTAGCCAGGTCCTGGGAGGGAGGATGCAGAGAAGCAGGAAGGAGACCAGGACAGAGAAAACAACACGTGAGGAGAGCAGAGGCCTAGGATGGGACATGGCACAATGAGTTTCAGAAACCGCAGGGGGTCTACCGAACCCGAAAAGCTAGAGCTCCTTTTCTGCATATCTGCTGTGTTGATTTCCAGTCTCCCTCATTAGGTGTGGCATCTGTAAAGACAAAAGCCTGTCCCTTCTCCTTCTGCACCCCTCAGTCCAGGATAAGACTCTGCATTGAGGGCCGATTTTCTCCATGAACCTTGCACTGGACTCAGCATCCTTCACAGAAAAGGCAAGGAGCCAGCAGCTCCCAACTCCTGTACACTGAAAGGGAGGTGGGCAGAGGGGAGGGGAAGAAGAGCTCATTGCCAGCCATGGGAGTTGGAAGATGAGGCCCACAGAGTTAGATGGGAAGGGCAGGACTGGCTCTAAATGGTGAAAAATGTCCCTGGCATTTATCTGAGGCCACCAGGCTAGGCCCTGGGGGACAGGAGCTCCTGGCAGAGACCACATGAGCCAAGTCTTTGAAACAAAACAAGAAGACTTGTTTTGCTACAGATGCTGGAGCCATCTGTAGCATACTTAGAGCAGAAAGACCTTGCAGAAGGGGTGCCCACAGAGGAATCAAGTGAGCAGGGGAGAAGACCAACTTGGGGAGAACAGCGTTTAAGGACAGCATGTTAATCACCTCCAGATAAATATAACCCTCTCTCCTCTGCTAGGCACCTTTCAGTGTTTGGGAGATGAGCAGTCCTGCAGATGATTGCCTGTGCATTGGAGTGAGGGTGTGTATTGCAACCTTCCCTCAGGAGGACTGAGAAGAGCTGGGCTTCTCAGCCTGGAGAGGAGGGTGGGATGGGTGGCAGCTGTGCAAGGAGCCATGCAGGCAGAATGCCACCATCTGAGGGCAGCAAGGGCTATGCTAGACTCCCAGGTGGTGGTACTCAGGTCAACGCCAGCAGAAAGCACTCGAACTGCTGTTCGTGACCAAGATGAAGTCCTGAGGCTGAGCTGCTGGGCACAGACACAGAGCTTCTGTCCCTTGGCCTGGCTCCATCACACCCAAGTGGAGACTTGTCACTATGCCTGTCCTGTCTGCAGCCACTTGGGTGCACATCAGCACTTTTTGTTGTCTTTTCCACCGCTTTCAGAAAGTAGGCCCTACCTTTTTGTTTTTTTCAGTCTTAGCCAGAGCAGGTGAGAAAGCAGCTATCCCTGGACCCGTGCATTTCTTGGAGAAACCCAGAACCAGCACACTTCAACCCTCCCAGGGGTGTGGGGCTGAGGGCAGCAGAGCTAGACAGGTCCCCAGCAATATAAGCGGTGTCCTCCTGAAAGTTCATTGAGAGAGACCTATTCTACTAGAGTCATCCGAGCTCAGAACAGTCTCTTGGAATTGCCTAAGGGCACATGCAGGGCCCATGCCACTCCTCCCCTTCCATCAGCCCAGTTAGCACTGACTCCCATCTGCTCGGGGCAAGGTCTGGCACCAGGCTCCCTCAGGGGCTGAAGGAGGAGAAACTGGAACTGGCTGGCTGCCCCTAGAGAGGGGATAACAGGACTATAGCCAGGATAGAAGAGAGGCTTGCTTTTCATTCTCAAGTGTTCTCTATTGTTTGTGTTTTTAACGAGACGTTAGACTGGGGTGGTTTTTTTGTTTTTGTTTTTTTGGTTTTTTTTTTTGTTTGTTTTTTTGTTTTTTTTTCACTTAAAAAGTCTAGTTAATAATTAAAAACACAGTAAAGAATCCTGACCCTCTCAATACCTAGCTCCAAGACCTGGACCTGTTCCTTAACCCGCCTGAGCCTTGATCCCCTCCTCTGCAGAG